TCACATTCAATAGTCAAGATCAATTGTGACCGCTTTGTACCAAATATAAATGGTCTGATTGTTCTAAAGCGCTCATATTTGATCCCGTTACTTTTAGGGCACATTTGATAACTATAAGTTTCAGCTCTAGAAGGTGGAAGTTCCAGTTTATTGTAGTACTTTATTGTTTAATATCTGGAAGTGTTGTAGGAAACTAGCTTTAGGAAGTTCTAGGTCACCAAAAAATGAAACTTGCAGTTTTCATTTCCTCATGGAAGTTTATGGAAGTTTGCTTCTTTTGTTTTTTAGGGAGTTTGCGTTCTATCGTCATTTTCAGTTCATGTGTCCTTTTTACTCTAAATATACACTCTCTCTCTAAATTCTCTCTCTAACCATGTATTTCCTATCTCTTTCTCCTCTCTATGTTTGCCCTTTCTCTCTCTAACTACTTTCTTCCTTACAATGTGTCATTGTCTATCTCTTACTCTTCTCTCTCTAATTATGCCCTTTCTCTCTTCAACTCTCACTAACCCTTTCCTTTTTCTTTTTAGCCATTGCCTTTCTCTTCCAAAATCTTTTTAACTCCTTTATTTATCTAATCATGCCCTCTCTCTCTAACTCCTCTTTAATAGTGCCATTTCTCTCTCTATTTGTCCTTTTTATCTGTCTCCTTTCTCTATTTAACCATATACTTGATCTCTCTTTAGCCCTCTCTTTTTAACTTAGGTGGGGTTTGTATAGAGCTGAGGATCTAAACAATCAAAGTAAAGCGCTTTTTCAAATAGTGGCGAGAAATGTAGTTTCAATACTTAAAATCTTTGTAACAATTTTAAATGCATTTTCATCTTTCATTATAAAATTTGAATTTTTAAAAATAGTCAAGATTGAGCAAATCTATGAAAACTTGAAAAATCTTGAAAATTGACGGTCCAAAAATAAGTTACAAGATGCATTATTTCTAAAATTTGAAGTCCATTTTTTCTCATGTCCATACATCTTAATGTCGAGATGATCGAAAGAACCTCTTCTAGTGAAATTTTTGAGAAGGGCTTTAATTTGTTTGTTTAGAGCCCGAGCACTTTATAAACTTTTTCCTTTTAACGTTGCGCTTTTTCTCGAACTCATATTTTCCTTATAAAAGTCTTCTCTCTCTCTCAAAGTCCACTCTTTTCTAACTCTGCCCGTTTTCTCTCTCTCTTTTGTCTCGACTCTTTGAAGTCGAGAAAGTTATCTCTATGAACCTATGTTAAATCATTATAGAGCATGATCTATGTATTTAGGAACTTCTAGACAAGTTATCAAACAAGTATTTTAGAACTTTTAGATATTAACAATTAATTTGCAGGGACCTAGAACCTACAAGTTCTAAAGAATCCCCAGCTTCCAGTTATCAAATGCTCTCTTAGGGTTTTTGCACCCTCTTGGAGCTTTGTGCCTTCGTTTAACACGTAGCAAATAACCTCTTCAAATTTTACCTAATAAATTTACATATATATGTGGATTAGGTATTTATATATGGGTGTGGTTTGCATTTGTAACTTTAAACAATCAAATTAAGACGGACCTCCAAATTTTATCATATATGTAATTTTGGTGTCTAAAATTTTTTGAATGGTTTGAGAATCTATTTCGATATCTAATTATAAAACTTTAAAGTCCAAAAATGTTCCAAATTAAGTAGATCTATAAACACATGAAAATATTGAAAATGGACTGTCCAGATAATATGATAATATGTTACAAGATACACTATTTTTGGGACTCGAAATATTTTTTTCTTTTCATATTCATACATCTTGATGTTGATATCATTGTTAGAAAAACCGGGCGATCTAACCGCTAACCGTCCGGTTAGATCAGAACCGTCCAGTGGCAGGTTCCGGTTTTCAACGGTTTTGGTGATCAACCGGTATTTTAAAAAAAATTTAAAATTAAAGAATTTGGTTTGTAATGCATTTGTTAATATTCTTACATCATGGTAAATATTAAAAATTGTTTTTATCATTAATACTCACTTTAATTCAAATTTGATTCGTTAATTTTTTTTTATATTAGTTTTCAACTTGATTTGAATGTGTTTTGTTTTAATCATTATTTATATGCTTTTCATATTTTAGTAGATTTTTTTTGGTATTCTTTTTATTTTTTCAACACTTTTTTGATCGTCTGGGACTTGTCTGATTAGAACGGTTGGATCAGTCGGTTAACTAGTTAGGCCGATTAATTCGCTTCTAGGCCCATATCCGATTAACCATTTTGATTCGATTTTACAAACACCGGTTGAGATGATCAATTGGAGGGTTTTCCAACATTAAAACAACCTCTTATGATGGATTTTTGAGGTGAACCTTAATTCTACATTTTAAGGTTGCTAAATTTCAATCCTCGATTTGCTTCAAACTATGAATCATTAGGATATACAAATCTTAAACTTTGGATAAATGCTATTTCAGGCCCATCTAGTTGGAATTCAGATTTTGCAAATCTATTATCTAGCTCACATGCTAGTAAAACTTCGATTTGTCAATTCCATTATATTTTTCAATTATAAAAGGTCATTATTTTTTTTGGAATTTTTTAATAATTGTAAAAAATAACTCACGGGAATGTCAATCAAGACACTATTTATTTTTTGTACATGGAGGCCATAATCATTTTCGCTTATTAGATGTTAAATTGGATGGCTTGGGGTGAGTTACAAATTTCGAGAATTTTTTTTTAGAACTTTGTGTCTATTCAATTACGCTCTTACAACCACCCATTTGAAATCTATGGGACGAGAATGATTATGATCTCCATTGTAGACAATCTTATAATTTATACATTTAATGAAATGAAATCACTATAATATAGCTTCATTTTTTCATTTTGAAGATCAGTTTATTTTTTCTTAAAACTGTACTCTTTCGGTTGACGGTCATGTTTTATTTTTTTAACCAGTAGAAATAGGCATGTGATTTTGGTAATTGAAAGTTAAACTAGGCGAGCATTTAATGGGTTATTTTGCCATTGGTAGGTGAAATCCAAATTGGGAGTTTCCATTTCTAAAATTTGGAAGTTGGGACTTTTGAGTACCAAGTAATAGAAAGTACTGTATACGGTTAAACTTTATGAAATTGTGGGGTTTATGGAAACGAAAATTGTTTCATGCTAGCTGGTCCCCATGATTGCATGTGCAGTAAAGATGGATGTCAGTAGGTGTTCTATTTAAAAACAATAGAAACTAATAATCCAAATGTTTTTTTATTAGAATTATTATTTTTAATTTTTTAAACTTTTTTGGTTTTTTTCATATTCATGATCTCCATGTTAGATATTATATATCTTTAAAATTAAATAAAAAAATCCATATCAAAAATAAATTTATTAATAGGCCCGCATTTTTACATATGCGAGCTTAGCCACATAAAAACTGGGTCCTTATGGAAAAGTGCATTTCATTTAACTTGGGATTTTGTAGACTTGGAGATTTAGAAATTATCCAAATTCAATTGATCATTGGAATGAAAGGGTATTGTTTGCTAAAAAGATGAGATTTTGAAATCATAGCTCATCTTATGGTAGGTCTAACAAAATGGATGTACTCAACTCCCCAATTTGGTTGGATAATTGAGAAGTTTTTATATATATTGAATTGAGCTAAAATTTTGGGCTTTCATACTTCTCACTTCAATGCACGCATACATAATCTAAAAAAAGTATTTAAAAAAAAAATATAATGATCATAATACCGTGAATATCTTATGAGTATTTTGATCATTTAATTTTATTCAATTTAGTAAATTTTATACACGTACGCTTGATGAGCATACATCCTCCAAATTTTATCTTTACTTGATTTCCAAAAAAATATAATAAAAAGTTACCTGATTTTAGAAAAAATATAATAAAAAGGTAGAAGATATGCCCAAATTTTTTAAAATGATCAAATGGTCCAAACTATAGTAGAACACTATTGATCTTAACCATCCTATATTAATGTTCTTTCATGTAAGCCAAATTTTGAGCATTTACATTTCTCACTCATGCGCCTGTAAGAAATGTACAAGAAACATTTCTAAATAAACAAAATGCTGGGGCTAATTTTATTATTTTATTTTTATTTGAATTATTTTAAATACTTTTTTACTTGTACAAGAGGTGCAGTCACATTCCAAATTTGATCTCATTCCAAATTTGAAAAAGAAAAGTGGAGCAAGATAGGTCCAACATTTTTAAAATGACCAAATGGTCCAAAAGAAGAGAATGCTGCTCTTCTGAAAATTATTTTTACGGGTAAAGGAGGATATTTTTGGAAGGATATTTTTGGGTAATTCAGAGGAGATGACATGCCCCTACCCGATTTTGATTTATCGCAATTTGCGGTTAAATTTTAAAGGGTTTTGTTATGCTATAACACTTTAAAATCCTCAACATTTTTTTACATTTAGATATCCATATCTTATAAAATAGTAATTTTTTGTTTAGGGTTATTTTAAGTAATTAGTCAAAGATAAAATAAAAAATTTTAATAGAAAAAAAAAATATTAACTATTAACTATTAATAGACAATACGTATATGTGTAATATCACCTGTATTAAACATTAATTGTTTTTCAACTAATATCATTATTTTTTTAATAAAAATATTTTTCCTTCCTCTCATAATAAATTAAAATGCTTTTTTTTAATAAAGTTTTTATGTTTGAGGGTTTTAATGGTCTATACCACACGTGGTGGAACTCACAAAAACCTATTAAATAGCGTTATAGAAGGTGGACATTAACGTAATTTTCTCTAGATTTTGTACGTGCACGAATTATTGCTAAATGTCCGACTCAAATTTTCGATTCTAACGAGCAAGATGTTCGATTACTCCATCGTTCACTCGATTCGATTCCGGCAAATTTTAATTATTATTTTTCCTTAATGTCGATTCCCGCAATTTATAGTTAGTGGAATTCGAATTGATTCCATATTCCAAGAGCCCCGAAGTTTCGATTCCAACGACCATGAGGGTGGATTACTCATTCGTTCACTCGATTCGATTCCCGCATTTTTTTTTATTTATTTTTAATGTTGATTCCCGCAATTTATAGTTAGTGGAATTTAACTTTAATTCCATATTCGAAGAGCACCAATGCTTGGAGACTGCACTCGCACCTCTTTCTCTCTCATCTCCCTCTCTCTCTCTCTCTCTCTCTCCCTACAAACAGAAAGCATCCCTCTGGAATCTGCAGAGCGAGGAAGAGAGGACTCTGAAGATTGTGGAAGCTTTTCCGCAACTCAGAGCTTCGCTTCAATTTCATCTACCATTTTTGTTGTTGTTGGCTTTGTAGAAAGGTTTAGAGAGAGAAAAAACAGCCATGGATGGCGGACCTAAGCTTCCTATTCTTGGTGTGAGAAATGTGATGATAACAAGTGCTCTGCCATATGTCAACAATGTCCCCCACCTCGGCAACATAATCGGCAGTGAGTTCCACTTCCCCCGCATTTTTCTTCTCTCGCTTCTTCCCAATCCTTGGTCTCTCTCTCTAACTTTGATGCATCTATTTTGGGGGGTTTCTTCTCTCTCTTTCTCTCACTAGGAGTTTTGAGGCATGTGGGCTTCTGTCTCTCCCTCTCTCAAATTGACTCCTCTGTGAATCTAAAATTGAGGCATGTGGAGATGATGGAAATTCATTGTCGTTTCAGGTGTATTGAGTGCTGATGTGTTTGCTAGGTATTGCCGGCTTCGTGGGTATAACACCGATATACATTTGTGGAACTGATGAGTATGGAACAGCTACTGAGACCAAGGCGCTTGAAGATAATTGCAGTCCTCAAGAGATTTGTGATAAGTGGGTTCTTCCTAATCTACCTTGTTGTTTACTCTACTTTGTTTCTACGATCTCTCTCTCTCTCTCTCTCTCTCTCTCTCTTTGAAGTTTATGATTTTGGGTTTCTAAGACGCTCTCTTAGGCTTTTTTCTCTTTGGATTATATTTGAGGTTTATATCAATTCAGTTTAGATTAATTCTTTCTTAATACACTTTTTTTTTTTCGATAGGCTTCATGAAATTCTTGCTGTTTTACTTCATTGTGTCCTCGCAGCATGTTCTCTCATGCACAATTCTCTGCATCTGCATGCCTTCATCTTTTATTGTAAAGAAACAAGAAATATAAGAAATGCTGAAATACATGTCATGATTGTTGTTTTGCTTTTAGTATAAAACCTGCAGTTTTTTTTCCTTATCAAATACTATCGAGTGATAGTTGCAAGACATTGGGATTCACCTTGTTGCTATTAAAACAAAAAACAAAAAGATTGTAATTTACCTTGAAATGCTGGAATTCAGGAAACGACCAGTTGCTAATGGAGTTCAGTTTAGAGCCTTAACTGTGACATATGTTTTAACTAGTTACGATTTTCACTATTTAAGTTTCAAATTTTGAAGATTTAAAGGCATTCCTTCCTATCTTATTCTCATGCCTTGATGAAACTTATTTTTTCTATTCATATGGGAAGTTAATTCGTGAAGCATTTCCTAGCACTTCCTGAATTTGGGTTTGTCTCGCAGGAATAGACACTGGTAGTTAATTAATGGTTGCAAAGAATGAAAATATAGCTTTTCCAAAGGGAGTGGAAAGGAAAAGTTAGAGAAAATCAGGCTCTTGGGTGGCTTTTCGAAGTGTTAGACACTTGGACGTCGTGTCCAAGACATGTCGACATGTGCCTAGAACTATGGAAACACATGTCCAGGGTCCATAGTTTGCACTCTTTTGCGCATGGAGATGTACTTGATCTTCGTCTATCTTTTTGTTTTAAATCCTTATTTTTTCGGTGTTCATCCGCTTGTTACCAACTTAATCATTAATCTTTGTGAAGTATCATCATCATCATCATCATTTTAGCTTTTTCCCAAATAATCGGGGTCGGCTACATGAATCTTGATTCTCCATTCTGCTATAGATTTATTGATCTCGTGTTTATGAACAAGGTTGACGCACATGAGTTTCAAGGGTAAAAATCCGAGTAAGCATTGGTAGCTGACAAAAGAACTTGATTTTCATATCACTAATGATAGCCTTTTGAGTTAACCTTTTTGAAATTATGTGTTTGAATTGGTGACCTGGGCTTATGCTTCCTTTTTTGTTTGTGACGTCGAATTGAGAGCAAATTGGGGCTCGGCAACAAGGATGTTTGTAGATACATGAACATCAAATGGATTAAGATAAGAGATACATGAATCATACCTACAAGAAAAATATTCACGGACTTCTTGCTGAATCTCTAGTAGTGCAGTGCTAAATGTATTAATGTACCATTTGATATTCAGTGAACTACATATAGGCTCACATATTGACTGTATGAAGAAAAAATTGCTAAGCTCATAGTGAGAAAAGGAGTGGTGAGCTGATTGGGAGTGAGGGGCGACAAACCTTGAATAGGATTACCATCCTTTGGCAGTTTGGACCATCATTTGTGGAGAATTTGATTTTTCTTAGGGATCTTTTTTAGCATTGTGGTTTTGGGAAACAGTTAAGTTGCGATACTTAGGCAGCAAGGCTGTTGCTTGAATAATAAAATAAGCAAAATAATCTTATGGTGATAGAGTTCCTATCTGTCTTTTCCATCCCCTCATTCAACACCACAATATGCACAACTTTTAAACCTTGATCCTCTCTTTTCTTGATATCAAACGCGTCGTATACAATTATACATTACCCCTAGGCTCTGGTTTTTAGGACTTGTATGGATTCCTTTCCATTCATAACTGTCAAGTCTTTAATTTCATTCACAATTTTCAAGTCTTTATCTGCAGTCCTCATGTTGGACTCTTTATCTTTAAATTTGAATAGTCATCCAAGCTTCACAGTAGATAGCATCTCCAACCTCCTTTTTTCTATTTATCGAACTAGGATACTTGCACTATCTATTTAGGTCTCCTGGTTGTATACACGAATATATTTAGCCTCTGACATTCCCTTGTATTCCATTGATAATTGATTTGTGACAATCTGCTGCTAGAATTGGGCTTTAAAACTATAGAAATCTCTAATATCTAAAGATTATCTTTAGTACCAATATTGAATAATGAAGGCAGCATGAAATTAACAATTACAAGGAATTTCATGAAGGTTCTCTCGACAAACATTTCTTTTTGAGCATTCATAAATATTCAAGGATACACTTTCATAGTCGTTCTGTGGTTTCCAATAATTTTCTTTGGTTACTATTCTCCCTGGCCCCTGCTTTCATTCATGTCCTTGGTGTTTCTGGTGATTAAGATATGAACATGCTACATGTCATCATTATCCTTGGAGCTCAATTGGAAATTTGAATTGAATCAGGAGTCAACATCTAAACTTACAAGAACTCGTACATAGGGAAGTATGTGAGATCCTCTATAATTAGTGACGGATTCAATGTTAGCCCCTAAGGTACATACACAAGAGTGGATATTCTTTTATTTGGTTAACTTAATTGCATATAATAACTCACTATTCTTAGCATAAACATGATTGTGATAAATAACATTGATACATGGTGTTGCTATAGTTGTCTCTTGGCATACACTCACCTGTATGAATTTATCCAAATTGGAAGACATCATTCACTTGATGAGGATTTCTTTTACAGTTTCCATTCATATCATTAATAAGCTTAGAGATAACCTCATTATCCATAGCTAGAAGATACAATATTGAATGAGTGTGGAGATAAATGCTGTCTGTCGGTGTCATATTGATTCTGAGCTGAAATTTATGTAGATATCACACAATCCACAAGGAGATTTATGACTGGTTTGATATAAGCTTTGATAAGTTTGGACGTACATCTTGTCCGGATAACACTGAAATCTGCCATGGAATTTTCAACAAGCTATTGATAAACAATTGGCTTTCTGAAAACGAACTGCAACAGGTGTGTTACTTGGGTTAGTTTGTAGTGTTCCAGGTCGCTGTTCATTTGTTTATGTAAATTTTGTTATTTTGATCCTATTTTTCACACAATAATAGTGTTTCTCTTTGCTCTGGACTGTTGATGGCAATACAGCTTTATTGTGATAAATGTCAGCGCTTCCTAGCTGACAGGCTTGTGGAAGGAACATGCCCCATGCCTGGGTGTGGTTATGGGGATGCTCGGGGTGATCAGTGTGAAAAATGTGCAACATTGTTAAATCCCAGTGAACTGATAGATCCAAGATGCAAGGTGCAACATGGTCATTTTAGCCACATTTGTGATTTTTGCTTCTTTTCTCCTTTCTTATGAGATTATATTTGCAACTGCAGTGCTTTATAAAATTTACACTTGTTGGTGTTGAGGAAGAAGCTAATTCTCCTGCTTTTCTTGTTTTGACATGTTTCCATTGGTAGGTCTGTCGCAGCTCTCCTTACATTCTTGACACCAACCATTTATTTTTAGAACTTCCACTGCTAAAGGATAAGTTGGAAGAGTATATTAACAAGATGTCGGTAGCTGGATCCTGGAGCCAAAACTCAATTCAGGCTACATATTCTTGGCTAAATGAAGGATTGAAACCCCGATGCATCACAAGAGATCTGAAATGGGGCATTCCCGTCCCTCATGAAAAGTTCAAGGACAAGGTTTGCCATCTTTTGTAGTCATACTTATTAGCTCCATTCCATGTTACTTCAATAGATAATGCACACTCTTTTACTTAAACATGCTGAAGTAGGCACTTTGGATTTCTATTGAATGTACATATGTTACTCATGAATAATGGTTCTCACTCCTGCCAAACTATGTTCAGGTTTTCTATGTGTGGTTTGATGCCCCCATCGGATATATTGCAATAACTTCTTGCTATACATCCGAGTGGGAGAAATGGTGGAAGGCTCCTGAAAATGTCGAGCTGTTTCAGTTTATGGGCAAGGATAATGTGCCATTCCACACGGTGAGTATTTCATATGACTTGTGGTTTACTTTGGAGATTTCCATGTAGCCCATCCTTTTCATTTTACCGATTCTAACATTGATGTTCAGATTATGGAATACTTGTTTGATCTGGTATCTGTTTACTTTGTATATTGATCAGGGAGTTGATTTTCACTTGCAATGTATTGCTTACCCTAATAATGCCTGTGTGGGTAGTCTTATAGCTTCTATTTCATGGAAATAATGCAATCTAAACTTTTCCAACTATTATCCTATAAAGTATTATACAGTGTCCTACCTTTTTACTGTTGCTCCACTTACCTCTTTCATTTCATCTTTAATTGCTGGTCTGTGAGATACTGGAGGTAGTTGACTGACACCAATCTGTCTATGGAGTTGAAAACTGCTAAGTATTTTGAATGCCGCTTTATGAATTGGGATCTTCCAGTGGGTGTTGGACAACGACATGCTGGTGGTAGCGGCATTGTTACATGGATACTTTGTATTTTCATTCGTGTCATGTATAGACACGTGTTGCCATGTTCTAGACACGTACAAATTATGCATCAGCATTAATATGTAAAAGGTGTGGTTTCAGAAGATTATTTGGAGGTGTTCATTAGGATGGCATGGGGTTTTGTTCCTGCCCGTTATGTGACTTTCGAAGGTGGACTCTTCCTGTGGGTTACTTTTAGGTCATGGACCTGCAAAGGTTCCTTGGTTACCTGGATTTTTCATTCTTCCGAATAGTTTGTGTGCACTCTTTTTACCTTCTAGCTTTACATCCATGTCATTTTCTTCTTCTACAGCCTCCTCATCAATTTTCATGCTGACAAACTGATCTAGGTAAGCATCAAGGAAAATTTTACTGCCAACTTGGTAAGTTACCGCAAATGCTGAATTTAGTATGCTTCTTTATTTGAGACAGCAAAGATGGCTTAGGTCAACCTAGTTAATTGAAGTAAGAAACAAATTCACCCCTTAAAACATTGTTAGCTGCTTTCTAACAATCCAAAATCCCGAAATGTGATGTGATAATCTAGTTAGGATTGCAAAAAGGACAACAAATTTGTGTCAGCAGAAAATTTGACTAATTTCCATGGAAAAATTTAATGTTGGGATGCTCTATGGTTATTTGAATAAAGGTATCAGCAGTTGTTGTTTGTTGATTCATGCATATCGTACTCTTCATAACACTTATTTCTTGTGCTCCTTATGTCTTTGGAATATCTCTTCAGATTTATAAGTTGGTTCTTAAATGTTTCAACTGGAATTTCCTTAATCCTGTAGGTAATGTTCCCTTCGATGCTTCTTGGAACCGATGAGAACTGGACTATGATGAAGACAATTAGTGTTACAGAATATTTAAACTACGAATCAGGTGAGCCAACTACTTTTTTCCGCCGATTGCATTCATTGAATCGTACTTGTAGCAATTTGTCCAGCATGTTCAAAATGAAATCATTTCTTGTAGAGGATGATATTTTGTTAGAGGGCTCGCATTAAATATAGAAAAATTTGATAATTAGATCATTGAAGTACTCTAGTGAAAATAAATAGAGGTTATTGTCTTCTGAATTTCCAAATAGCGTTACGTAGAAACTCTAATGGAAATCCTTTATTCTAGGGAAATTCTCTAAAAGTAAGGGTGTTGGAGTGTTTGGTAGTGATGCAAAAGATACAGAGATACCTGTTGAAGTCTGGAGATATTATCTACTCACTAATAGACCAGAGGTGGGTCATGCTGGACCATTTATTTATCATAAAACACTTCCATGCCTTTTTTTTAAAACATATCTAGTCTACTCTTTTCAAATTGTAGTTTAATGTGATTGATGATTGCTTTATTGGAATTCACCTGATTGCTTTATTGGAATTCACCAGGTTTCAGACACTTTGTTTACATGGACAGACCTTCAAGCCAAACTCAATAACGAATTGCTGAAAAACCTTGGAAATTTTATTCATCGTGTTCTCAGCTTTGTTGCTAAACCTTCAGGTGTGCATAAAACATGACAACACTTTTATTTCTTTATTTCCTTCCATCATGAATTTAGAAGTTTGAGCATGAAATATTGTCACAAATTTTGATTCAGATGGTGTACCTTTTTTTAACTGAGGGTTATACTAAATATTGTACGTGAATTTTCTCGTGGATTAAGCTATTTACAACTGCAAAAACAACTTTCTATTGTGTGCACCTGCGCTTGCATGCGTGGGAATGTATATGATGCGCTTGAATGGTCGTTTGTCTAAATGTGTGCACGTGCATGTGCAGATGAGATGGATGAATGGTACGAAGTTCACACAAAACAAAAATGGAATAAAGTTAAACTAATTAATTAATAAATCAAAATGCAGAAAGAAGGATCTTTAGATCCTAATCTGTATTGAGTTGAAGTCAAATTATATGTATAAATTGGACTCCATGTAGATGTGCATATAAAATAGACTGCACATATTGTGCTATGTTCTTGTCATGGTGCAATATCAGGGTGTTACAAACAATACAAACTGGGAGAGCATATGGTCATTTGAACAAATGGTTTGTCAGAAGTTGTTTACGTGCTGTTTCAAACACACTTTACTATTGCATACCTTACCTTGCTTTTGACTTATTCATTAACATAAAATAATAATTTAGAAGTTGACTCTTCGAATATTTTTTATTGGACTTTGGATAAACACAGGAATTGTGCTAAAGCCAATACAAATTAATTCCTTTGACATGCTTTCTTCTAGTGCTGCATATTTTTTGTGGAACGCCTCTTGTCCTTTTCAGATATTATTTCTAAAACCAAATCCGTTTGTCTTGTACAAGTGTTTTCTGTTTGAAACATGTTTATGCTAGTAAGTCGAGTATTCTTTGCTACATAATTCTTTTATCTTGAGTATTTCTCCAAGCACAGCAGGTGCGGTACTGCAAAACAGGATATTTGTCCTCAGGATTTGGTAATTCCTTCTTGAAGTACTATTCACTGTAGTTCTCTTGATCTGCAAGGAAAGAACCGAAAGAAAATGGTTCTTATTTGTATTTCTTTCCTACATTATATTTGTAAACATATGTATTTCTTTCCTACATTCCATTTATCTCATGCACTTAAGTTCTTCTTGAAAGAAAGACTAATGCAATCTTGCCGGGGGATATATATTTCTTATTTTTCTTCTTTTCACCTTTTTTTTTTTTTTTTTTTTTCTTTTCTTTTGGCAAAGATCACTTACAAGTAATCTTATTACAATAACTATTGCTTCAAAGAAAATAAAACTAACAAATCCAATATCTTAAAAACCTTGATGCCATTAAACCAATTTTCTTTAAACAAAGAAAATATCCACAATTCTTATGCTTGAGAATATAAAGACAATATAATTAAATATGACAAGAAACAAAAAGAGAGTGCTGGAGATTACCTCAACCGGGCTTATTACACCCCACACCGAGTCACCATCATCCGATGGTGCGGGCTCAACGATCAACTTTCAATCTCAACCGGGAAAGCAAGTTTAGGCCAAGCCTTCTAATGGAACTATGAACTCGTATATCAAATCTCAAACCCTTAGGTGAATCTCCTTAGCAACCTAGTTTGAGAGAAATACTTTTCTTTTCTACCACAACCCTATAGTCTAAAACCCCAATGAGAGATGAGAGATGAGAGATGAGAGATCATGAGAGGGTTGAGAGAACCATCATGAGAGAGATATCAAAGATGAGAGTAGGGTGTGCCCTTTTGGGTCTCTTGAAGGAGAGAGAGAAACTTTCTTAAGAGAGAGTAATATTCTAGGTGTGGCGTGCCCCTTTTGTGGGATATAAGAGAGAGATGGTAATTAAGTGTAAGAGATAAGGTATCGAGATTTTGGGTAGAGACAATCCCTTTTTATAAGCTTTAAACAAGATTCGGGTTTTTTAGGGTTTTTCTTGGCTTGCCTCTTCTTGTGAGATTGAATATGAACCATTGATCTTCGGTGACTTGTGAGGTAAGAGATTTGAGCCATCGATTCCATAATGGGTCATCAACATTATGAAATGTGCTAGAACCTTTATCCTCCATTCCTAAACCATTTTCCCATCAATAGAAATTAAATAAAATAATTCCATTCATAATAAAATGCTTACCAAAATTATGCACAAGCCTTCTCATGCTTCCCAAATATCTTTTGAAAGCTTCCTCAAGGCAAAATCTTTCCAAAACACTTCAAAGCTTTCTCTTCAAACCAAAGCTTGAACTAACACAAGGAAAGTTTCATTAGGGTGGGGTGTGCCACCCTAGGTGGTACTTCATGTGCCCCACCCACATGCAATGGTAGGCCCATTAACATATTGGGCCTCCCATGCAATATTAAAATTAATTATATGATTTTTAAAAATCCATAA